TGTATGGTAATAAATCCTTATTGCGGTGATAACGATTGGTAGGTATCAGTGAAGGATAGTAATGAAATCAGGTTATGTTTTATACATGAGAAAAAGGGGATCAGCGTAGGTTTACTGTGTTCGCAAGCAGAAACTCCTCAATTCTTCTTCCTTTATCCTGAAGAAAATACATGCAGTTGTTCATTGCCTTTCTGATGGGTGCATTGCCTACTTACCATTATTATTATATATACTTTCTCATAATATAAGAGTCAGTAATGTAAATAAACTGGCTTTAAAGAAAAAAAAATTCAGTTGAGTTTCTTGCCATTTCTTCTCAATTGAATCTGTATACTGAACTGGACGGAAAAAAATGTTAATACAAAAACTTGATGCTCGTAAATGGCTCGTACATGAATAAATGATTTTGATTTTAATAATTAACTAATATTTGTATATAGCAGTTGTTTCTATTAGCTATCTTATACATACCACTTCCACATACACTAACTAACAAAAATCGTACTCTCTCTCTCTAAAATATTAGTGTATTATAGATTAGATGTTATGCACTACTTAACAGTACCTACTTATTATAGGTAAATGTTATTGTATAATTCAATTTTAAGTGAAAACGATACCATTACGCTTTTGTTCCGTGCGTGACGAAATTTGAATTGTACGATGCTGTAGATTGTTATTGAAAATTCAGTATTGAGACTGTTGAGAAGGTTGTAGCTTAGTTATTTGCTCTCCTAACTGCTAGATTCAAAGGCCGTGTGATCGAATCTGTCTCATATTAAACATATACTCAACGAAATATAGTATATTCATGCCATATGTTAAGTTGTACAAGTTTGGCCTGAGAATACAAGGATTCGTATCCAAAGATTCATACCCATGTTTTAAACTACGCTATAATATCACCATTTGTAATTTTCGATTTAATTACTTCAAATTCCAATTAATAAATAATTTATATAAATTTTAACTTTTTATTCTATTCTGTACAAGCTCATTTGATAGGAATAACAGCTGAATTACGTGTCAATTATTAGTTCGAATGCAATCCGAACTGACGGTAGATTTGGTCATATCATTAGAATGTGTAATAGACCTACATGAATAAAAGTATCTTGATTTGATTCGTGTAGGACATTTTGAGCTGCTTATGCATGTAAATTTTTTATCACAATCCTACTTCATTTGAGAAGAACTGACTTTTTGTACTAAATTTTCTTAAGTTATGACATCAGCTGGCATATAAATAATGTGAATAAATATATACTGGTGACTAATAGAAGACACAACACCATTAAACCTTCTATGAAACAACACAGACGTTCTTTGTCAGACCAAATGGCGTGGATGCATATCGCATAGTAATTTGAATGACTGGACGTTGCACTGCCATATTATGGTGCAAAGGGAATGTATTTTTAGCAATGATTGTCTGGTTCTGAGATAAAATTTATAGTACTACTAGTTTCTGTTTTCATATTTATAATATTTCTGTCCTTCATATTGTCCGTGATTATATTTATAGAAGGACTGAGTCTCTTATTCCTGTCATATGCCTAATATTAAAGGGAATGAATTGAAAAAAATACATAACACCTACTTATTTATATACATATTACACGTACTACATAATTATAAACAATAACGTTTATAATTTATATGAAAAAAAATGGATTGTAATCTTTACAAAAGTACCTACCCAGTATCTAAAACTTAAATAATGACTTCGATTAAAGAAATCACTTCAAAATTAGTCAACTATTAGTGAAGAGAAGCTGAATCGTAGTCGTTTGTATTTTGCGTCCATTTTTTCACTTTTCTTCCTATTGTAGTCATATTTCTAAGTTGATCGTTCAAATTTCTAAAGAATGTGATAGATTTTTTAACTAACTACTCGCCCGGGCTTCGCACGGGTGTACATGTTTTATATATATATATAAACGTTCCTCTTGAATAACTCTATCTATTAAAAAAAAACCGCATCAAAATCCGTTGCGTAGTTTTAAATATTTAAGCATACATAGGGACGGACAGACAGCGAGAGCGACTTGTTTTATACTATGTAATTAAGTAGATTATTACAAAGTTGCCAATAAATTAATAGCTCAAACGATAACATATGGGCGATTAATGATAATAATATCAGAACACGATTTGACATAATAAATTGCACAATGCGTTGACTGCACCATTAAGGCTGGGGTTAGATTTTGACCGCAAAAATGTAATAAAACATTGCGTAAAGACTTCTAATAAGAACACAGATCGCTGAATTTATAGATATCGAATTAACTGTTGACACATGTCTAGTAGGAGTTGGTGAACAGTCTATAATTGAACTTTATCTCACTTTAATCGTAAATACACTACATAATATGAAGGAGCGGTGTTTATTAATAAATGCACTAATGAATTAAACATGACTAATAAAATGTCAATGACACGTGTCATAGAGCATTCGCAATCGAATGCGGTTATTAAGGTGGAGTTAGAACGAAGAAATAAAGAACATGAAACAAGAGCCAGAGTATTAATCGTTTTATTTTTAAACCTTCACACTAAAGTAAACTAGACTAAAAACGTCAAACTCGCGAATGAGTGCTGCTTGTTGGGACTGGTCTGCTCTAATCACTGCAACTGATTTAATCTTATTTAGTTACTTAAACAGTTGGTTGTGTATTTAATATTTTGGTTCTAATGAATTAGCGCCATTTGTATTAATTAGGTTTGTATTAACATTCAACTTAAAAATGAGAACTCTATAGGTATAAATCCCTTCCGATCGATCCCCCATCCAATTCAAACGGGGATCGAAATTACGTAGTCCTGAGCTGATGTTCAAACCCCTAACACTCACCATAGTCCTTAGACTAAAGTCGTATCCGTTCCGCGGGAGTTTGTCTTTAACAGTGCCATAAGTCCTTCTGCGGGTTTGGAGTGCCATGTGTACTAGCCCTATATCGTTCCAGTTCCAGTAAAAAGCCAGTATTAGTTCGGTCCAAAAAAATAGGTATAAAAATCATGTTGGGATAGGAATAACAAGGATTCGCTCTCTTGGTGTAAAATATCTCAATGATTAAATCCACCTTAAAAAGATTATTAAAAGCGCCGAGCCGACCTGTAACATATTTAGCCACTTGTCTACGCCACTAGATGTTTTTACCTCGTCTATAACTTTAAACTTTATTACTAAGTCACGAGCTTTAATCTTCTTGTTGTGAATACTTCATTCCTATAGAAATATTGCAGACCTTGGCATATTTGTAAGTTCCTTTCATATTTTCAAATATGTTGCATTATTGTAATTTTCTAGAACCTGTCATACGATACCAAAAGTTAAATGTAAGAAAAACATATTGAATTTTGTATTCTAATGTGTGTATGTATTCTAACGTATTTCACATTCAACGTTTAAGTATTGAGAAGTGAGGATAATTGTCAGCTTATCAGGTTAACCACTATGGAGTTCCTCTGCAACCTTTTATTTGTGAATTCACCACAATCGGCTAGCTGATGTGACTTCAGTTATGCCTATACTACTCCATGTTCATACATGAAAAAAATATTGATTAATTTGATTATGTTTTTTGATTTGTTATGTGTTTCAAAAAATTGACCGGATGTATGTCAAAATACGACTCTATTCAGTACTTAAGTAATAATTGGGACATTCAAATGATTTCTTTTGTATATAGAGTTACGTAAATGTTTTAAAACCCTCACTTGACCGCATACGACATCCCGAGTGCAAGTCATTTCTCATTAGTCATATTGTTAAGCTTTCCATCCTTTACCTCTATCAGATGACACTTTAATCTCTACACAGTATAAAATAAAGACTATATTCCGATGTCGACATTTATGCACAGTTGGACATCTGTAAAAACTGTGGTTATCATAGATTTTATTACCAACGTCATAAAGTGTCGATTCCCGCGATATATAGAGCCGGATACAAAATCGCACACGCGGCGGATGCATTGCAATTGCTGCTATTGCTTTCCTGTATCTTCGTTTGATGTGACCGTGTTGGTTGTTTTTTGCCCACATGCACCCACTTGATATACTTCGTGTAGTCTCCAGGATTTCCTAGTCATATCCGACTATCAGTTAATGTGTTCTGACATTCCTCTTTTTATTTTATGACTGCACCAGAATTCCTTATAGAGCTAGCTAGGAGCGAGAACGGATTGCCATTTGGCTGTAGGCATTATACATTCGTTTTACAATATTTATGTTTTTAAATAACTGTGGCCTCAGTTTCACACGTATGAAATTTATAGTCGATGTGTTATTCTGATGTATAAGGTCACATATCACTAAAAATTCATCAAAATCCGCGCAGTAATTTTTGCGTGTATGTTTTTCAAATAAAGAAATATTACAGTATATATATATATAATATATACATCAGTCTGTCCTTTGTATATCTTCTTGTATATTTAGATATACAAAAAGATATATATACCATATAATAGGAGTTACTATTACATGTTTCTTAGATTATAAATAGAAATCAAACAAACCTATTAATTCAAGAAGTTGAGAATCTTCACAGTTATGCGAATGCGAAATCTTATAATAAGCCTTCAGTTGTCAGTTCTTCCTGCTCATCCTCTAAAATGAACTAAAGATACATATTCGACGACCTTGGTGGTCTAGCGGTCTGACACATCGCTTTACGACCGATGGTCGCGGGTTCGATTCCTCGCACGGCACAAACATTTGTATATATAAGTATGAATGTTTGTATCGGTCTGGGTATTTTCTATGTATAATATGTATATATTTACAAAAAAAAAATATCTATGTATTTGTATCAGTTATCTAGTACTCATAACACAAGCTTTAGCTAGCTTAATTTGGGCCTAGATGGCGCTGTGTGAATTGTCCTGAGATTATTATTATTATTATTATATAGATTACACAAAAATATTAGCTGTTTTGCATTGTTGAATTCAAACAATAAGAATGTTAAAATGTCTTTATTTTTGTTACAGACGCAAAAAATGGAGTGCGGTTCTACCGAACTCAGCAGGAAACTGCGTGTTGATCAGGTATGGTTTTTTTTTATTTCGTGTACAGTCAGCACCAAAAAATAGAGATACTGTTCGATACTTTTGGAATTTCAATCTTGTACAGTTAATTACGTTTATGCTGTTATACTGTGATATTTTGAATGTATTAAGTCTTTTGGTGAAGACTGTATTTAACATTTTGTTTTTTTTTTTCTATTTGAGAAATGTTTGTATACTTTATGCGTATTGTACTTATATATGTAATATTTATTCTCTTATCTTTTTTATATTTTATGCGTATCGTACCTATATAAGTAATATTCCAATATCTGTGCCATCATACGCTTACATAATTTGTAGTAAAGTTAATGAAATTTATAAGTAGGAATTGCCTACTTATATCACCTTTATTATAACAAATAAAACCTATTTATACAAAATCATTAAAACTAATAGTAGTATTATTTGTCAAATTGTTTTGAATTTTGTACAATTGTCGTTTTAATGGAGTTGTATAGTTTTCATACAAACTAAAACTATATAATTGTATCACGAAGAGATTTAGCCTGCGTTTCATTTTTTTTAAATAGTACCTTAACGGAGAATATACTTACATGTGTGCTATTTTCATAAGTGCACATAAATTTATTATGTTACGCAATATTATATATTATTTGAATATGTTACTTGTTATGAATTTACTTAGAGCAATCAACTTACCACTTTACTACTATCGATCACTGTCCACAATCCTAAAGCAGTTTAGATAACAGTTTGACAGCTGCACAATGCCAAACCAAATGGGTCTTTTGGCCATAGACAAAATATTACATACCAGCCCTTTTGATTGATAGATTTGAATTTGGAATTAACAGTATAATCAGTTGCCATATTATTATTTATGAGTTTATATAAGCGAAAGGTAATTGATAATAATAAATGATTGATGTACTGTAATTAAATGGAAGTATTTAAGTATTTTTGGGTCTTTCATAATGATTAATATTAAAATGTAAATATTTAAATTCTTGTATTTATGATTTATTATCTATATACATACATACCTATCTATGATTATGATTACGCTTGATTTTAATTACTTATTATTGTGTATACGATTATTAGTTATGAATAAGTAGAATCAAACATATAGAATATTTAAATCTATTTTGAAAGAATAAAAAATAGTTGATATCCTTACTACATTTAAAACTCGCATCTCACTTCTTTTGTATGAGATATTATTTTCGAAGTAGGTGTAATATTTACTTCAATATTTTAAGGGCTAATATTCAAATAAGAGAATAACATTTCTCAGTATTATACTAAAATACTCACGACTAATTCGTTCGATATAATTTATAAACGTACTGGCATGTTCCTTCGTCTGACATTTCGCGCCAATTTTTGACAGCTGACAAACAAAATTCAAAATATGAAACGTAAACCGACATGACTGTGTGGGTATGGTCCCTTTGCCTGTCCTAATAGGTGTACAATATAAAAAAGCAGGTTACTTGTACAACCTGTTTAGCACACCTGTATTGTAAGTACCGTAACAAGTAGTATCCTCTGTTTAAATGTTTCTTTGCAATTATTGATTGTCAGTGGTCATTTTAAATGTCATCTTGTTATATCATTATTTACAACCGGTGTAGTTATTAAGTATTTTGCACCGTTAAGTGATCTTTATTGTAATCATTGGCACGTGCGGTCTTCAAATACATGATAATTATGAGAGGCAGCTGTTTTAGAGTTAATTAGCTTCTGCTCGCGTATTCGTCTGCGTGAGCAATTGACTCTGTCTAATAAAACATAGAACTTTTCATCTCTATTCTGCGGATAAAAAGAAACTTCATTCGAAATACTCAAATATCGTACTGGCCGGTAGCAATTTGGCCGGCAAAAGAACGTAAGATTCTGTCTGTTTATGCAACTATTTTTTTTTATAATAATTGTTAGTATTCTAATTTATTAGTTTAAAAAAAAGGTAACTCTGAGATAAAAGTCAATTTATGTACTATGTTTTAAATATTTATGTACTATATTTACATTATATAATATGAAGTCGCTTCGGACATCTGTTCGCTTAGATTTTCTATTGCTAAAAATTGCATGCTTAAATTTTTAGCAATAAAGTGCTTCTAGAGGCAAGTTTATATGTATATATACATCTACTTAAACCTGTGCGAAGCCGCGGCGTGTAGTTGGTATATCATAAATTTTGACTTAATACCTTTTTTTCATCTAAATGTATATAACTCAAAGGTGACTGACGTAGTGTACGTTGAGTACAGCCCAAACCACTGGACGGATCGAGCTGAAATTTGGCATGCAGGTAGATGTTATGACGTAGGCATCCGTTAAGAAAGGATTTTGATTAATTCTACCCCCAAAGGGATAAAATAGGGGATGAAAGTTTATATGAAACTTTGTCAATTTTAAACCGATCGGGCTGAGTCTTTGCATGCATAAAGCTACTATGACGTAGGCATTCCCTAAGAAAGTGTTTTGATAAATTCCACCCCTAAGGGGATAAATTAACGCGAGCGAAGCCGCGGACAAAAGCTAGTTGTGTTATATTTATTGTCAGCGTTACTAATATATGATAGTGCTATAATTGTATATGACACGCGTATCTTGTAATAAATTGTATCCGCTGTACTTTTACGCACTTTAAATAGCTTTTAATTAAATTGTCTGTTCATCGATTGTAATCACCGTAAGTCGTTAGTAGAACAAATCGAGTGGCCGAATCGATTTCATTGAATATCGATATTAGTGAGCGGTTTATGTAACGGTTCCACTCTACGTGTTACGTTCCGATATATGTAGCATCTGTTCATACCGTAAAATCGAGGAGGCATTTGATACATTTACTCTTATAAATAAATAATTTTGTTATATCTTGCAAGTGACTTTAGACTAGACTTATACTTAGTATTTATTTGATATGATAATTGTAAATATAATATTTGTTTCCTAAAATATTTAATTTCCTAAAAATGAATTCATTACTTTTATAGACAAATTTTTACAAATTAAATAAATCGAGATTTTCAACCTAAATTTCAAAATGAATGAAATTAGAGTATAGATAAATAATAGTATGTTTAGTCTAAATTAAAAAAATATAAATCGATAGAATAAGAAATTAATTAGTACAATGCTGTACTTATCCCAAAACGGATTTCATTCATCAAACCATATCAAATTACGGTTATTTCATGAGATATATGAAACATAACTTAAAAACATACATAAACAGTACTGAACTTATTAAAAATTAATAAATGACTAAAAGGACGAGAATTTTTATCTGGTTTATATTTTTTTTATTAAAAATAAAGTTATGAAATCTATATTTAATTAATATAGATTTCAGATAGTAGGTAGGTATCAATTAAGTGGATATCAATTAAAAAGTTTGATTAGTCAATACAAAAATGGTATTAAATTTTATTAATTATCACTAACCAATAATTGCGACCTAGAATATAGCCGGAACATAGATATTAACTAGATAATCTATATTTAAAACGATTTGCAATTAATTTGTTTATTGTTTAAACACGGTCTAAACGCCTAGTTACGTATTCTTTATCGACACCCAGTATAGAATATCGATTATTTTGTTAATCGATTCCCGCACATATCGAGTTCAGGTGTGACCTCCTTTCTGTTAGTTAATAGTGGCGAAAAATAATCGATTCTGAATTAATAGTCTCTTTCCTATTAATCGATTGTTGCGTAATCTCACTAACGATGTATGTTTTTGTTAAAACGTGATTTGTATGTTTGATATAATTAGAGGGTATCCTCAATGTAGGAAAATTATGAAATACTCTTTTTGAATTTACTCAAAGAGTTTTTAAATTTGATATTGGAATTTTTATTGTTTATTGAGTGATTTGAAAATAGTAATATCTAAAGTAGGGTCAAATAAAAATCATGGATTTCCCATACAAATTTTCATTCCATTTTTGCATATACACAGCAGGATGTAATTATTGATACAAAACACAGTATGCACTACAACCGTGTGTCTTCGTGTTATGATAGAAAAATGAAATTTGTAATTTCTGTTTGTATTGCAGTGTCGTCTGATACACAGGCTGTTTATTTAGTGTTGATCTAGTTATATCCTAATATTACACAAATACTTTATAAACACATTAGATGATTTGCATTTATAATTTAAAAGCTGCGGTAATCACTTTCTATTTTTAAAGTTAATAAATCAACCGAATTAGACTTTATACGAAGTCGTCTCCGTGGATAGTTGTAAGCTTGTTGTATGAGCTCTATTTCTTATTAAATGGTGATATGCCACATATATGACACCTTAAGGCATGATACCTATTAAGGTACCATGCCTCAAGGTGTTATACTGTAAAAACCTATGGAGTGTGGCAAACACACTATGGACGTTATCACCGTGACGTCCAAAATACCCCTCAGGCCTTGCCATTCATGAGGTAATCCTAAATCCATGAATGGCAAGGCATGAGGGTTCAATGTCCATAGTGTGGTTGCCACCCTCGATAGGTTTTTATCTTGTTTATTATTTTAGTTACACATAAAAAAACAAATAAGGATGTTGAGGTGAGCTACACAGTTTTGTGGGGGAATGTATAGTTTCAGAGGTCACAGAAAACGTTCATCTGGGTGTGTAAGCTGCCATAAAGTCGACAGGGTGAAATAAAATGAGCTTTAGGAGCTGACTGTCTGTCATTGTTTATTGTGGTATTGTGTTGTTAAGATATGTGATGTAGCGGTAATGCGGAGCGATTGCTATAGTCGCGCTATGAATTAGTAATGTATACACCTACCTAATCTTATGTCTACCTTTTTCTTTAGATAGTATAAATAGAAGTCCTTCTGTTGTCTTTTTTCTTAGATTGTTTATACTACGTAACAGATTTTAATGCAGTTTTTAGCAATAAATAGAGTGATTCAAGAGGAAGATTTATATGTATCGGGGCGGGTAGCTAGTATAATATAAAATATCGGTAAATAATGTAGTTTGGGGAGTTAGT